GCAGGTGATAAGGGTATATTGCTACATAAGTAAGGGAAGCTGAAAAATAAAACTAAAAAAACTAGTAATTGATTTATTTCCTAACAAAAAGAAAACATGTACTTTATTAAGTGGTAATCGAGGTACAGTAAAACTCAGTTAATTAGAGGAAGTCAATGCGTCTTGGAATTTTTCTTCCTTATAACCGAGATTCCTTATATCCTATATGGAACATAGGAAAAAGTTCTCTAAGTGATTAAAAAAAATCTTTGTGAACAAGATTTCCTTATAACCGAGTTTTGCTGTATTCAATTATTGCAAATTGCTGCATATATATGTAAAGTCCTTGATGAAGAATAAGAGGTAAATCTACCTTGTAGTAGGTTTTTCTAGTCTGGCTTTAAAATGGGGGGGGGGGTCCCACTACAATGCCATCATTCCATGGGGGAAAATCTCCTACTTAGCCATTTTACCAGGGGGATCTACTATATATAACCAGGGTTTTTTGGGGGGGGGGAGATGACTGGAGAGAAAGGCTCCTAAAGGGAACCCACGACGGGAGTGACCGATCGACAGGGGATACTTGCTCCTTCATGGCACATGATCATACCTCTGATGTTTTAGAGGACCGTGTTTGCTCTGCTCCGCTTCTGTATTGTTCCTATGGACTTTTGATCTTGATTACTGATCGTTATCTTCATACTATACATTGTTATTTATAAACATGGAGCAGCTTGGTAAAATAATCTTAGGACAAATTAGGTAGAAACAATTACGTCGATATCCCCACTTTCTTTCTGTGATTCATATTTTTTATTATAGAAATTATGTAACCTTTACGATTAAACTTAACTCAGCAAGACAATATCTAGAATGCAGGAGTTGTCTGTTCTTATTTCATTGTCAACTGTGATACATTTTAATCATTAAGCTAGTAATTTTTTAAAAAGATATTCGATTCTTTGCTTAAAGTATGTGGGTGGTATTTCTTAAAATTTGTATGGGGTTAAGGATATAAATTTCGATTTTTTTTTACTCTTTCTTCCTTTTTTCCAAATAAAGTATGCCCTATATGGACTTTGTGGTCCCAACATCAAGTGAGGACCTAAAGGTATTTTCTTTGCTAAATCGTAATAACATGTTTTGTAATTTAATCAAACAAAATAGTATCCTAATTCCATGTCATAGATACATGTATTGAGTTATAAAATGATACGGGTAATAAAATGTCAGTGTAAAAAAGTAAAGGTATTTTTGCTAGTGCTACGTATACATAAAGCAGCAAATTAAGCAATCATTTTTGGTTGATGTTTATTCACTATAATGTTAAGATTACGTTCAGTTTTACACCACTTCTTAGACAGGTGTTTTAAAATATCAAACTTTTATGTCTTTTGATACGTAATCATACACCTACGTAGACTTAAAACAAGAAAAATGTATTATTCATTTATTCATTGTTAGATTATTATTATTATTATTATTTTTTTTACAAAACTGACTGGTATACATTCATAAATATAAATTTACCTTTGCTAGTACAATTACAGGTATTGAAGACAGTATTATATAAAACCCTTTATGCAATGCATGACAGAATTTCCCAAAATGTACTGAAAATGGATGTCCTTCTTAATAAGATATGAGATATACACCATGAAATAAGATGTATTTAGAACCAGAAAATGTAAATCTAATAATTGCACATAGAATGGGCCAGTCGTCTCTATTTTTTCTAATGATTTGGTCTAAAAGAAATTTTTCAAAATTTAATAATCATCAGATAATTCCTCGAAATATACAATACTTTTGATAACTAAAAGGCCTTCAAGAGTCCACCAACAATAGACAACAATTTCACAATATGCTTTTTATGTACTTAAAATAATCCCGATGTTAAAAATACATAATTTAGAAGGAATATTCAGTCGGAAGTTTTTAATTATTGGCCATCACATGATATGATTGTTAGAGGAGAAGCTTCTAATACTTGACAGAGTTGTATGAACTTTGACATCAGCTCTTATTTGTTAGAATGATTAATTATGGTATAAACCATATCTTATTTGATTGGCTGTTCATCTTCTTTTCGTAAGGTGCTGTGTATCGCCTATGAATAAGTTAGTCTGACTCTTACACAATACCGCGTCAAAGTGATTGATCAGGGTAGAAAAATATGTCTTTATCTTTTTTTGTATGTCTGTCAATAAGGCACACGACAACAGTAATTATTTTTTTTGAATAATTTTAGAAAAATAATTTGTAGTGTAATTTAACGTAAGTTTGTCAACCCTTGTACCAATACAGAGTAGCTCAAGATGCCAACAGGAATTGTTTGGCAGACTATCTGAAGAAGTTATACTTTGAAAAGCGTAATTTTAGAGCATTCAGAACTTACAAGATTGTCTTATTTTTTTATTTTTATTTTATAACTACATTAATTTATTCATATTTCAAGTTTTCTGAATCATTATAAGCTTTTTTCTTCAATATCTCGATACACAAACGTTTATTTATCGTTATTCTTTTCTTGTTTTATTAAATTTGTTTATATAAACATAACATTTCTATAATATACTAACTTTTGTTGAATTTTGAAATAATTCTCTATTCCATCTGATAAAGCACGCTGAGAAACATATTTGAAAAGCCTAACACTGAGCAACATAATACTCCCGAAGATATCTGCATAAGAATGAAAATTTATTTCTTATTAATCAGCTCTCAGAAAAGAGAAAGCAATCCATACCCACTACAAAAGGTGATTTTGATGTTTAACTCAAAGGAAATGGTGAAGTTAGCGAACAGCGAGCAATCTCATAAATCCTCTATACAAAAACAACCGGTCACGGTAGCCTATTGGTAGGGCGTTCGATTCTCGTTCGCCGCGCCGAGTCAAACCTAAGACGTAAACATAGGTAGTGTTCCTTCGCCAAGCGCCGGGCTCAAGAAGTGAGAGTCACGGGTCTTTCGGATGAGACCTTAAAAACCGAGGTCCCGTGTCACTGTAGGCGTTGGCACGATAAAGAATCCTCACTGCTCAATGGCCCTGAGTGCCGAGTATAGGTCTAAATATGAAGCCCTTCAACGGTATACGGTGACGTCTCTATATGAGTGAAAAAATATCGAATGGGACATAAAACAACATAAGTCAATCAATCATATTGAAAGATCTATACAATACACATCATGAAGATTGCAAACAGACTAACTCCTGGAAACACCAGAGCTGGGGTCAGGTGCCAAAGAGAAGTAAGCATCCCCTATTGACAGTCAAATCCGTTCGTTTATTTAACATCCCTTCGAGAATTTTCACTTATATTAAGCCGCCACCACTTGCCTGGACTCTTGAGCAAACGTTCTAACCATTGCACAACGCGGGAGACTTACTACAAGATTGGGGAAGCATAAATCACCTCGTTAGTCATATAATTTAATATTTAGTTGGCCATTAATGTGGATAGTCAGTAGAACATCCAAATATGACACAGATGTTGCTCTGTGATTCCTTTTACTTCATTTGACCTGGCATTTATGGAGTCAACATACATGTATGAATGATAATTTGTTAAACATCGTCGATTTATCTAAATGCCGAAAGGACGGCATAAGCTAGAATTTCCTTCTTCTTATAAAATAGACAAATAAAATAGGCTTAGTAAACATTTCTGGGTTATATAAACTAGATTTTATTCTATATTATCGGATTGTTTTAAACCAGACTGCTTTTTGTAGAGGGAAAAACTCTACATTTGAGTTGTTATTAGTCCCCTACCGGTGAAACCGGAGGGGACTATAGGTTTCCTCTGAGTCTGTCCGTCTGTCTGTCTGTCCGTCTGTCTGTCTGTCAGTCTGTCCCACTTGGTTTTCCGCACTTTTTTCCTAAACGCTTGCAGATATTGAGCTGATTTTTGGTATGTGAGTGTATCTTGATGAGTTACAGACCAAGTTTGCATTTCGTTCCGCTTCATCGATTTTTGACGGAATTACAGCCCTTTCAATTTTACGGGTTTTCCGCAATTTTCTTCTAAACGCTTGTACATATTGAGCTGATTTTTGGTATGTGGCTTTACCTTGATTAGTTATAGATCAAGTTTGCATTTCGTCCCGCTTCATTAATTTTTGACGGAATTACGGCCTTTTCAATTTTTATGGGTTTTCCGCAATTTTCTTCTAAACGCTTGTACATATTGAGCTGATTTTTGGTGTGAGGCTTTACCTTGATTAGTTATTATATTAGTTTGCATTTCGTCCCGCTTCATTAATTTTTGACGGAATAATGGCATTTTCAATTCTTAACGGGAACGGAACCAGATTACACTTGCCGGTAGGGGACTAGTATTGCTAATGCAATACTCCCAGAATGCTTGTTTTCTTTGCTAGAACAACAGCTGTGTTTTTATATTCATTTCTGACAAATGGTTGTAGTAAGGCTACCAAAATATAAATTTGGTTTTTTGATTGATTGAAATACGTCCTTTCCAGCGTATTTCACAAATGTTTGGACGCCAGGTATTTCCAGTGCGTGTCTACATATTTGAATCTTATGACCATTGAGCAGTGACAGTTTTCTTTCCAAATTCTATCGCGAATAGGGACCTTGTTTCATATCCAGATAATTATTTGGCGGTCGCCAGAAACTTATCTGGCGGCCGCTAGATAAAATATTTTTCTACCTGGCACCTACCGGCTTCCGTACACAACAAATACAATGCTTGAATTTGACAGCGATAGTTTAAAGAAGTACATTTCTACCTAGTTTTCTGTCAGACATTTTCTGAGCTCGATCCTTGTAAGAAAGTAAGAAGAAAACTGAATTCCAATTTATACCGTGATAAAAAACAATATAAAAAAGTAATTTGTGAACAGCTTTTCATCCAATCAGAAGGCTCTTTGTATATGAGACTTGCCAGATTAATATTGATGTCACACGTCTTTTCTATGCATTATGATAAGGTGCAACTATCCTTGGTGTAAAGACAAATTATAAAACTGAGGTATTCGGTTAATTATTCCAAATGGGAAAGTCGGGTTTCAAGCTTTATAAAATATCATCTCACAGTATTTTACAATGGGAATTTGATCTTCATAGCAGAGGGGAAAAGTAAGAGGGCTATTTTTTTAATGACCAAATTTTAGCTGAAATATTCCAATTTTTTTGTCGAAAACACGACATGGAAATACTTAATACTTAAATTTCTATTCATGTAATAAAGATAAATTCTTTAGGATAAAAAATATTTAAACCAAACTATAGATATATAAACAAAGATCTATTTATCAGGCAATTCATTCTTACTGGACTATAAGTAAGTCTAACAAAACATAATAATAATTAGAAAAAAAGATTATCATTACGTCCTAACCAAACAAATTTATTTTATGATTTACTTATTTTAAATTGTGTGCATCTTAATTTTTTCTAACCAACATGTGACTCATTTTTCTAATACTTAAACCCTTTTTCTGATTTTGAAGTGAAGGCTCTACTTGCATTGGTCATTGTTCTGGGTGTTTTCGTAAATGTATTCGCTCAGTTTGGTAACAGTGTGCAGTTAGCCCAGGTGCAGTTCTATGAGCCTATTTATGCAACACAGGGAAGTGGATCGGGAAATCTCTTTGGAGGAAATAATGGATTTGCCGGATCAACTATGGGAGGCATCTTGCCAATCATTCTTGCCAGTACGTATAGTATCTTATATCAAGACATGCTTGCGTCTGTGAAAGATAAATGTAGCATTGTTAAAGGCTGTGGTTAATTTAAAACGAAACTTATTTTTGAAGAAAACTTAATCAGACAATTTAAAATAAAAAGATAAAAAGAAGAAGAAGATGGTCTGCAGGAATCGTGTGTATTATTCATAGTTTTAATGCCCAGTCAAGCAGACGATATGGTCGACTGACCACAGCTGGAAAGAAACGCATTTAGGAAAATGTTGCATTAATGCATTGAAATATCTTGTCAAATTGTAATATTTAAGTCTGCTTATCTTAACAGTTACGATAAAATAGTAACACTTAACATAAATCATTAAAAAGAAATATATGGTGATAGGGAATAGTCAAATGGAAATGCATGAAAGTTTCTGTTGGTGGGAAGAATTGCTTTCGCTCTCGGTGTAACAGAAACAAAATTGAACTATCTTAAAATCTTAATAAATCAGTAAATAAAATTAAACTGACAAGTGGCTTGATAAAAAAAATAAACGCCCCATGCGAGGGGTTCGAACCAAAAACATATCTACACGGCGGGTGTGACCGGTCGGCAGGGGATGCTCACTCCTCCATTGCACCTGATCCCACCTCTGATGTTTTGGAAATCCATGTTTGCTCTGCACTATTTTGTAATGTTTAATGGACTTTGTTTCGTTATCTCCATATATTTCATCTATTCATCACTACCATGGACAGGTAAAGCATATCACTGAGCTATCGTCGTAACATATTTCTTGTTGGATTTAAAACGACAATGATGAGGTGCTTTTATACAATAAATTGTTTTCGGACAAGGTTCATTTTTATGCTCCCTGGGTCTTCTCTCCTTTTTTTTTTTTTTTTTTTTTTTACAAATTTTTGTTTCTTTCTTCCTTTCTTTAGATTAAAATGCACACAAATAAGTTTAAAAATTGTTAAGAAAAGACCCAGAGATAAAAAAAAAATTATAGAAAAACGTGTGTAAAATTGTGTACCAAATAAATAATCTAGCTATATTTCAAGACTTATCTTAGAAAATAAAGACACAGTATCGGGTAATTAAATTCTTAATAATACTATATTTTTCATCTGTGTAAATTCATTTTTAAAATGAGTTGATGAAATACTAGATATAAGATTTTCCGATGTAATCTTGTAAAATTTGCTTTGTATTTGCATCTCTACCAAATGGTTTTAGAGTTGTTGTATTGTAGATATTATTCGAAAGCAATTGCATGAATTGCATATATATTTGATAAAAATATGGAAATTGAAAATAGCTGACATGAGTTCAAATAAAGAATAATTTAAAAATCTATAAACTTTTTCTTTTAATTACAGTCCTTTTGTTATTAATTTTTTCACCTATGGTGATTGCTTCATCCACAAGCGACGATCTTTTTTCTGATAACGATGCCAGATAAAGGTTAGTAGATACAACAAGAACTGACATAACACTATAGGCAGTTTATATGAAAGTCATATATCCTGATTTTCGGACACTTGCATGTCATAAATAAAAAAAAGAAAAGAATTTGTTTGGAACTACCATACTCACTCATAAAGTAATTACAAACAAATCTTGCAATAATTCCAGCTTTAAATATTTTTTATTGTCACTATATAATTTTTACTATTCATTTTTTTGTAGGAATGGTGGAAGTGAAAGTGATTTCATTCTTATCACTGTCTGTGATATATAAAAAATAAACAACATTAAAACACAGTTTTTCCCCCAAATCATCTGATCTTTTATTTCAATCTAACGTATATCAGCCATCTATTCTTATAGTTATGACAAGTATCATTAGTGGACATGCATCTAAGTCATTTAAGGAAAACATAGGAATACCTTTTATATTTTCTTCCTGTAGAAAGTGATGGTTATTCTGAAAATTGGACAGATCTTTTTATGTTACAAAAACAGCTTGCTGAATGAAAAATCTTTAGAATCAGTGGCTGCGTATGAGATCTCGGTTTACAGAAAAATACGGTTTACTTTCTTGTAAAGCAATTTATGTAAATTTATCTTTGCTGCTGTCAGTATAGCATCTGATCCCACCCCTAATGATTTTGGAGGTCCTTGTTTGCTTTTTTCCTGATTTGTCTTGTTTCAGTGGACTTTTGAGCTTGATGTCTGTTTGTTATATCCGTATTCATTTTAACTATCGGACATGTAACTCTGCTGGTGGACAGTCTGTCCACGAAGATACTAGTACTTGTCTTTCGGTATTTATTCATTCATGAGTAGCAAACAGTACAACGAAATAATACTCGCAGACACGTCGCCCAGTATGAAAAGGTGTCACACTTTTGAGTCTATAAGGGACACAGATTCAAAGAGTTCAATCGGTGTCCCTTGAATAATCCTCAGGGATATCAAACTTATGTCATATATGCAGTCTTCTTAATCCCAGTTTTGGTAAATCCAACAGTGCATACGACAAATTGAAGGAGTGTAAAGTTTCTATTAGATATATTTGACGATTCCTTTTCCGACCCCATGTCTTCAATTTCCCGGTGTTCTGTCAAAAACTGTAAAACCTGTAATGTTTTGATTACAAGCTGTTCTTTCTCTAGTAATCTTACTGGACAGAGCTACTTTACCAAAACTTGGAAAAATCTTAACTGCAAATCTTCTAATGTTGTCTACAGAATAGATTGTACCCATGTTGGTGAAACCCAGGGTTCTCTCGATAAAGGAATATCGGGCATATATTTCAAATTAATAACGGGGCAAGCGGTTTCTCAACAATCAATTTATTTTAACTGATCATTCCGTTTTGTCAATAAGAATTAGAATTCTAGAAAAGATTTACCATCATACTAATAGCCCATCATTGAGTAGGCAACGAGAAGAATATTGGATTTGGAAACTAGGCACGGTTTTTCCATATGATAGCAATGGCAATGTCAATTGTGTTGGGAATCTTTTAAGTCCACAGTGTAGCACTATGAATGTGATAGGACTTTTTAACAATACCCAAAAGCGTAGTCATGGACACAGGTCTTACAATAAACCTATTATACACAATGTCTCTTTTGATTTACTACTACCTTATGTAAATAAACAGTATGTAATATATATATATATATATATATATATATATATATATATATATATATATATATATATATATATATATATATATATATACGAAGCTTTACTCTGTCCGTTTGAAAGTTTTAAAAAGTCTAGTTGAAAAAGTCAAGGAAAGTCCATATTTGTATTCTTCGACACCAGAATATAGGCTCGGATCTCTGATTATGGATATTGCAAAGCAAAGGCTTTTTAAACCGCCACGCCAAGAAAATACATGTATTGCTCAAACAACCCTAAAGCCTTTTTTCCTGTCGTTATATCAGTGTGTCCCCCTTCCCGGTTGAAATAGTTTTTGGGCTATTTTATGCGTTGGAAAATTTTTGAATTCGGTACACGTGTTTGTCTTCAAGGAGAAACACTCCTTCCTCTTCTTTCTACGAATACACATTCCATGATTCACTTTTTTCTGATTGTTGCTTTATTGTTGATTTAATAGGGCTGAATCCTGGAAGCGAATAAAGTTGTATTAAAGATCACCCTACAAGTAATATCATCTTCCAGCATTGGTAGTGAACAGCTGTCATTTGTAATCAGGTGGCTGTCATATATGGAATTCTATAATTTTTGGATTTTTAAATTTTTTAGAAATATGTTTATTTTTGCTTCGTTGTTTTTCTTCTATATTGGCATTTCAATTGGGGTGTTTTCTGGGCTTTTTATAATCATTGGTTGAACCTCTCAAGGTCAAGATGGTCTGCAATTACAAATGTGTTTGTAACATTTTCCTTATTACGTACACAAATTAATGTGTTTATTAATTAGTACATCACTTCCATGGAGTTTCTTTTAAATGTTGCAAAAACATTTTGGTCATTTATAATAAACTGAAAATCTTTTTTTTTAAAAGAAGAAGAAAAAAATACATGTATGGTGCTACGAATTAACAAGAAGTTTGATTTCATGAAAGGAAAACAATACTCAAAAAATATGTTTAACTCGCAATCTGAGAGACTTTTTGAGACTTGACAGCCTAATTTATCCTTAAGTTTTATGCTACGCTATAACCTGTTTATTGTATTGAATCAAGTTTATTATCATTTGAAACGGCAATTCCTTTTGCTTCACATATACTCTTTCAAAAAGGAAGATTTAAACTTTCGCCGTATTTTCACTTTTATTAACATCACTGGTTTTTCCCCAAATCCGTTTTTTTCCCAATTAAGGACCGTTAATACAAACAAACTTTAAATAGGCAATTAACTTCAAAAGGACCTGAATGTTTCCGTGTTTTAACTTGTTTCTGTCTTAAAGCCGAACATTTAAACATTGTAATGATTGATGTTGTTTTTTAGTACCATGAAATATATGGAGATAACGAACAGTATTCAAGCTCAAAAGTCCATTATACAATACAAAATAGGAGCAGAGCAAACACGGACCTCCAAACATCAGAGGTGGGATCAGGTGCCATGGAGGAGTGAGCATCCCCTGCCGACCGGTCACACCCGCCGTGTGCTCCTTGTCATGATCGGGAAATGTTATGATAAAATACCACGACAGCCTTGAAGTGACGTCATATGTGACATAATCAAAGGGGATTTTTTTTTCATTATACCTCAAAGGAACGAGTCCGTCGTGGGTGAATTTTATAAATGACTGATAATTTTTTAGAAAATTTCTAGACATTTCATTTAAAAGTAAGCAATTACTTATTTTGTTGGACTTATTTACAGTATGTACAATTCACCGTGCATTGGACACAAATTAACTATGCATCGGACAATGTCAGTTGCATGGATAACTACTTCCTTTTTTGTATAGAAATAACATAACTAATATCAAACTGGCAGCTGTTTTTGCATAGGAAATAAAATATAAACTCGACATATTCAGCAAAAATCGATGTATGACAACTAATAGCGGCTCTCTCTTTTTCTTCAAATTAAAAGATTTATGAGTATGATAACCCCAGAGACCAATGCGATGTATTACGAGGCATTACATTGCAAGACCTTAAGCGATGTGATGAAACTAAAATCTCTCCACGTCTGTGCATCGTTATAGTCAATAAAATTAAAGTAGAGAGTTAATTTTTCAAATGAAAAATAAAAATATTTTCAAGTCACTAATTTATAAGCATTTCAGTTATTTTAAAATCGCGAAAAAGGTAGGACGTTTTCCCGGTTCAATATGCCGTTTATCCGATGCATGGTGAATATTGTCCGAACCATGGCGAATTCTGGCTCATTCTAAAAAATCATATTTTCTCAATGAAAAATTGATTCATAATTTCATATTTTAATTTAATATATAATACACGTTATGCTCTACTTTGAGAAAATTCGGACGGTGTACATGTAGCTGTGTGGCTCTGTTATTGACAGGTTTGTTTTGAACGATTGTAAGACTGTATACGAATGTTGCTCATAAAGTTCGTGGACAAAAGCTATAATTTTCTTAACATAGCCCACACTAGCAAACGTGTACAATAACGTTAACGTTTTAATTAAACCATAATTTAGTAAATATATATATATTTATTACATTTTCAATAGTGATATACTGTGATTTATTTATTGAATAAAAGAGATATTTATTTTACAATGTGAAAGGATACCAAAATGATATTCTGTCACAGTGTGAAAGGATATCAATAAAGGTAAAAATGATTTCTGGCATGTCATAAGATGGAGATAGCAACTAAACCATCTTGATAGAGACTAAAACTGTAAATTTTCTCACAAAGATATTGCTAAAATCCATGCGACAATGTTTTCAGTCTCACAATTGCTAAGCTATGACGTCTCAACCGCTCAGCTGTGAGGTCACAGCATTTAATACTGTGTTAAGAAAAAACAGAGGCAATTTGCAAAGAGGAGAAATCAAAGAAAATGTAATAAACATTTCAAGGTTTTGTAGTTGGATATGGAATTTATTTCACTCGTGAGACAGGATTTTTTAATATTTTCACTCATGCTTCACACACGTGAAAATATAAAAAAAAAAATCCTGTCCAATTCGTGAAATAAATTCCATATCCAACAACAAAACATTGAATATCCTCTATAAATATTAAAACAAAATTAAACACACTATTTTACGAACGTTATAGTTAAATATACTTTGTATATGCAAGCTGCACGGCCCAATCAGACTTAAAGCTAATTTCATGATAACGTCAAAAATATGGAAATTGATTTTTTTATCACATGTTCATGGACACATGCTTCATTTTCTTTATTATGCCACACTGCCAGGTCTGTGCAATAATAGTTATGTATGGACCATAATTGACCAGGTTGATTTAATTCTTAAAATTCAGGTTGATTTAATTCTTAAAATTCAAAGGAAAATACACGATAATTTACGAGCGTTAACAATATAAAGACGTCACTTCGTATACACAAGCTGTGCACAAGCCCAGTTCGACGTTGCGCTAGATTTATAAATATAAATTCATGTGCTCTTAAATACTGAAACTGATGAACAATAAGTCATATGAACCTGAAGCACATTTGCAGCTCTGTTCTGCAGCAAGTCAAATAATAAAGAGGGTGTGTGTGTATAGAGCATTTATTACAAATGCCAAATGAGATTACAAATTTTACAATTTCAGAATGCAGCAGAAGGTGGGGCCCAAAAAATATCCCACACCTTATACAAAGGAAAACTAGTACATGTATTTTCTACAACAATA